GGGGGTGTTTATGTGTACTTCTTGATTTCGTCGTACAAGACTAGGACGAAAGCACCGCCCATTCCTCTGAGGACGTTGGACCACGCACCCTTAAAAAACGCTTTGCCGCCCTCGTCGCGCGCAATCTTCCGCCAGCAATCCATGGTCCCAGAGTACATGATGTCGGCTGGGGAAAAAAAGAGACAAACAGAAAACCAAGTGGGCAACTCCATTCATTTGTTGTTTGCAACAATACAGGTGCTGCTGCTTCGCTGCCTTGGTAGTGGCTGGAGAAATCCTAATAAAATCTTTTTTTTTAAGGGAACTTTCGTCAGAAACGTTTCTGCCCCGAAATGCAATTTAAAATGGAGCAGGGAAAAAAACAGCAGAAAGGGAAAGAGAGATAAAGGAAGCGTTAGCTTCAGACTAAGTCAGGAGTTTTTCTCGAACTCCACCGTTTTAAGATGCGTGGACATCAACTCCCAGAAGTCCCTGCTGGCAGGGGGATTCTGGGAGTTGAAGTCCATGGTTCTCAAAGCTGCTGAGGCCGAGAATCTATAGACTAAATGATGGTTTGAGATGAATGGGAAACTAGATGCAGTCTCGCACCTACTTTAAGCATCACCAGCGCACATTCTGGAATTTAATCTAAAGAGGATGTTTCTGATTGGCTAACACTGCAACCCCTCGCCGTGGGCTCCTGCCAAGTACAACCAATCAGGAATAAGAATCCAATGTCGTGGGCCATCTTTATAGAGAAAGGGCCATTTATAAATCACATCAAAGAGTGTTCTATTACTAATGACAAAGTATTGGGGTCTTTTTTACCCTTTAACAACAAATTCAGGAAGATGCTTGAGCTGAAAATGATTTTTTTTTTTCCCGTTTGACTTGGGGCTCCTTCAGGTGGCCATTCAGCTCAATAAAAGTCATAATTGATACAGGAGAGAGAACCATGATGTTCAGAAAAACGTCATTTTCCTCCTTAGTTACATTTTTTTTTCTACTGGGGTGGGCCGAAGGGAGAACAAAGCAAGCTTGTCAAGGATGAAACTTTGGCAGCCACGTGCCTCTGCATTTCAACTTGCCTTTAGAGTAAGGGGGGGGATGTTTCTTTCGAGTGGGATAGATGGATAAACAAAACTTCTATGATTTTTCTGAAGACTGTTACAGCCTGAAAACTTTTCAAGGACACCATAATAGATGCGGATTTGAAGCAGACGGTTCCCATAACAAAGTGAACTTGTTTCTATGGACTAGGGAGGACATTGGGGGTTTGGTTGAGAAAATGATTGCTTAAGTCTGTGAATTGGTGTTGAAACTTCAAAGTTGACATTACCATGCAGCGTATTCAATAAACAGTAAGATTTTTGGAGACGGAATGAAGTTGGAGCGTTATTTGAATTCTCGAGCTAGATTTGACAAAGCTGCGAAAGAACAGTCACAAAGGGACATTTGGAAGAAAAGCTAGATGGATTCTTTGGTGCTCTCTTGACCTTGGTGGTTTGCAGACATTTCAACGACCCAGTTAGATAACGTCATCAATCTTACCAGCTAGCTGGGTCATGAAAATTCTAAGCAAGCAAACCACCAAGCTCAAAGAGCATCAACGATTCTACATTGAACCCTGAGCTACAAAAGCTAGATACCCACCTCCTTTGCGTCCAGATTGCATCATCATACGCCGCCGGACAGTGTCGAAGGGATATGAGGTCAGGCCTGCAACGGCCGTTACCGTCTGTGCGATCATCCAGCTAATTAAAATGTGAGTGTTCTTTGGATCGGGAAGCATTCCTGGGTAAAGAAGCAAAACAAAACAAAATTTAAAAAAAAACCCCTCTGCTTAATTACTGTCTCTTACAGCAGTATTTCCTAATCCTGACAACTTTAAGATAGGTGGACTTCAGCTCCCAGAATTCCCCAGTCCGTGAGGCTGGCTGGGGAATTTGGGGAGTTGACATCCACCTGTCTTAAAAGTTGCTCAGGTTGGGGGAAAAAATGCCTTAGAGCAGGGGATCTCCAACCTTGGCAAGTTTAAGACTTGTCTTAAAACTATGCTGGCTGGGGAATGCCTAAACGGTGCCTGCATTGGAGACCCCTGCCTTAGCGCTTCAACCGGGAAGTAGGGCACAGGACTACAAACCCAACCCGCCACTCCCTTTACCTTTTGCGGTGTCATAAATGCCAAAATACGCTGCTCTGTAAATGATGATTCCCTGGACAGAGACGTTGAAGCCTTGGTAGAGCCCACGAAGACCGTCGGACCTGAAGATCTTCACCAAGCAGTCGCCGAGACCTTTGAACTCTCGTTCAGCCCCGGCTTTGCCCACATCTGCAGCCAGGCGCGTTCGGGCAAAATCAAGAGGGTAGACGAAGCAGAGCGACGTGGCTCCGGCAGCGCCCCCCGACGCCAGGTTGCCTGCAAAGTAACGCCAGAACTGGGTTCTTTTGTCAACGCCGCCCAAGAAGATCTGCTTGTACTTGTCTTTGAAGGCAAAGTTGAGAGCTTGTGTGGGGAAGTAGCGGATCACGTTGGCGAAGTTGCCCCGCCAAAAGGAGAGGACCCCTTGTTCCTTGGGGATTCGGACCACACAATCGATGATGCCCTTGTACTGTTGCTCGGCCGTGATCTGCATGCTGGCATGTTGGACCTGCCAAGAGGGAAAGAGGCGAAGGTTAAAAACAGCAGCACTGGCTACATTCAGACTTTCTTCCTTTCCTTTCTTTCTTTTTACTTCCTTCCTTCATTCCTTTCCTTTTTTCCTCCCTCCCTCCCTCCCATACTCAATGTCTATACCAGTGGGTCTTCAAACTTGGCCCTTTGATGACTTGTGGACTTCAACTCCCAGAATTCCTCAGCCAGGCGTGCCTGGCTGAGGAATTCTGGGAGTTGAAGTCCAGAAGTCATCAAAGGGCCAAGTTTGAAGACCCCCGGTCTATACCTTCCCATCTCAGCCAAGTGACTCTTGAGTGGCTTACAATTCCAAAACAATAAAAACTCTTTAAAACAATATTAAAACAATAAAAACACCCACCCAATAAATCAGTATAAACAGCAGCCATGATGATACTAATACTAAAGCCAAGTAACGGAGCCCCTTAACACATTCTGAACCCCAGGCCCAAGTAAACAGCCAAATTGTGAAAACCAGAGGTCATCCCTGGGTGCGAAAAATTTTAAAAAAAAAAGGGGGGGCGAGAGTGACTGACTGGTCACCCATCCATTTTTTTCATGTCCAAGACTAGAACTCCCAGTCTCCTGGTGATTGGCCCAAAATTACTCAGCTGGCTTTCAGGCCTAAGGCAGGACTAGAATTCACCATCATCTCCTGATTTCTAGCCAGGTGCCTTAACCACTACACCAAACTGGTTCTGTTCAATTGCAAATGTTCATAACTATTCAAAACAGAAAGCGAAAGTTTAGCTTTGGGACTGCACAATTCAGTGCCCTTTGTGGCTTTTAGACCAGTGTTTCTCAACCTTGGCAACTTGAAGATGTGTGGACTTCAACTCCCAGAATTCCCCAGCCAGCATGCGCTGGCTGGGGAATTCTGGGAGTTGAAGTCCACACATCTTCAAGTTGCCAAGGTTGAGAAACACTGTTTTAGACAAACCCTGGCTAACCATTTCAGTAGGCCAAGGACACAAGTACTGATCCCAAATCATTGGAAAGAAGGCAATTATTGGAACTGGCAAATCAGTTTTGAAACATCAAATCCTGACAAGTCCTGTACGGTAAAAATCACACACGCTGTGTCTTGTCGAACAGCGTGCAGGAAGTAACGTTTTTATTCCTCCACCCTGAGACGGAAGGAAGAAACTGCAGTTGAAGCTCTCTTTTAAAAAAAAAAAACCAAAAAAAAAAAAAACCCTTAAGTCTGAGTAACTGAGGGTTTTGTCCTAGAGGCCTACGAAGCAACTGGCACTGGGGGTCCCTGTTTTAAATCTCAGGCTTTTTGAGTTTTGAAAGCTTGGAAATTTAGAGTGGGATCTGGAAAGCAGAGTACTCGGGCTAATAATATAGGTGCGGCATTCCTAAAGGTAGACGGGAGTTTACACAAGGCCAGCCAGAGGCCACAGGCTGAGTTCAGTGGATTTGCCTCTGGGTAAGCTCGGTAGACAATGGGTTCTAATCCACCCGGGTGATAACAGCTTCTTTGCAAGGTGACCTCTTTCTTTCCTGGGAGATTGTGGCTTGGCGCCATCCCGGGATCAAGATGTCCTCAGCTGCCTGCTAGCTAAGGAACCAGGTCACAACCCCGGTCCCCAAACACAGCGGCATCTTCTCTCTTTCTCTCCAATTCACCGCTCCCTAAAAAAAACCCCGGCAACTGCTTCTTTCCTTTTCGGGGAGGGGGCCCAACGTGGCCTTACGGCTTCCTATTGCCACCCGGCAAGAAGCAAGGATGCCATTTAAATCTACAGTGACCTTGCTAGGCCTCTTCCGGTGCACGGGCAGCAGACGGAGAGAAAGGGAATGATTATTGCTCAAATTGCTTCCGAGAGAAAAAGCAGCTCGGTCGAAGCCAGGGGGGGACCCCCAAAGAGCGGGGGGAGCAAGACCCCTGAGGGGTTGCTCCATCCCCAGATTTTGGCCCAGCTGCCCTTCTCCCTTTCAAGGTCACAGGATGGCCGGTGGTGGAGGGCCCTGCAGATGGAGGAGCCGGTGGAGGGCCAAGAGACACCAGGGCAGGATTAATCCCTTTGCAAAGCCCGGTGGAAAAGGAAAAGCAGCTGGCAGAGAGAGAGAGAGGAGCGCCTTGCCAAAAGGCCTCTCGTCGCCCGGCGTTCCGCTGCAATGCAAATCCCTGCAACGCCGGGCCGGGGATCGGCATCGTCGGAACCGGTTCTCTCCAGCGCGGGCACTTTCGACTCCTCCGCCACCAGCCAGGGGGGGCGAGGCAGAAGCAGGGGAAAGAAAGAGGTGTGTGTGGGGGGGTCTTCCTGTGGGTGGGTCGGTGGGCAGCCTTAAGACCCGGATCGCTTTTGCAAAGATTCCTGGCTGTCCGTCGGCGGAGGCGAGACGGTGGGCGCCGTCCAGGGTCCTGGCCGCCCCCTCCCCTCGTCCCAGGCCGTGGGACGGAGGGGGGCAGCAAAGGGGGAGATCAGCCCCCCCATCTCGATCCAGGCCGTGGGGGGGCAGCAAAGGGGGGAGTTCAGCCCCCCCCATCTCGTTCCAGGCCGTGGGGGGACAGCAAAGGGGGAGATCAGCCCCCCCATCTCGTCCCAGGCCGTGGGAGGGGGGCAGCAAAGGGGGAGATCAGCCCCCCCATCTCGTCCCAGGCCGTGGGGGGGGCAGCAAAGGGGGAGTTCAGCCCCCCCATCTCGTTCCAGGCCGTGGGGGGGGCAGCAAAGGGGGAGATCAGCCCCCCCATCTCGTCCCAGGCCGTGGGGGGGGGCAGCAAAGGGGGAGATCAGCCCCCCCATCTCGTTCCAGGCCGTGGGAGGGGGGCAGCAAAGGGGGAGTTCAGCCCCCCCCATCTCCTTGGGGCGACCTTGGGGGAAGGGATGGCGCGGCTTCCCTTTCCCCCCCCCCCTTCCCGCACGAGGCCGTCTCTGCCCACGCGGCAGGACCCCTCCCCGGATGCCCAGCCCTCCTCCCCCGGCCCCGTGGGAGCCCCCTCCCCGCCTTTCCAACCCTGCATGGCTCCCGGCCCTTCCGATCCCCAGCCGTCCCCCCC